CTTACCGTCGGCTGTTCCCGCCGTTTCTTCTTAGCGTCGTCGTTTTCATATACCAATCGGCCTATTTTGGTCTTTTGTGCCATCCTTCTCGCCGACGTTTTGCGTTCTATTTTTTTCCTGTCACCTTCCGTTTTGTTTTGTTTTGTTTTGTTTTGTTTTTCTATCTTGTCTCTTTTCTTTCGTTGGCTTATTTTTGTTTTGGACGCTGGGTCAACGCCGCCTCAAGACACGCAGTGTCGAGTGATCCTTCTTCCTTGTTTCCTGCATTCATCTGAATCAGTGAACTGCCGCGACCTGGATGTCCGTTCTCTCTCGCCTTTGCTTATTTTGTTGTTGTTGTTGTTGGTCTTTGGTTCTCTCAACAAGCTCCCTCCGAAGTTTCGTCGGTGTTGTCTGCCTCTGAACACGTGGAAAAAGAGTTCCCCAAGTTTCGTCGGTGATGTTGCCTCGGGACACTTGGACACCGAGTTCCCCGCGTTTTCCTGGTTCGCCTGTTTGCCAACTAGTGTTGTCTTAATTTTTTTGTTANACAAGCTCCCTCCGAAGTTTCGTCGGTGTTGTCTGCCTCTGAACACGTGGAAAAAGAGTTCCCCAAGTTTCGTCGGTGATGTTGCCTCGGGACACTTGGACACCGAGTTCCCCGCGTTTTCCTGGTTCGCCTGTTTGCCAACTAGTGTTGTCTTAATTTTTTTGTTATTGTTCCATCGTGCCGCAGAAGTGTCGCATACGCTTGGTGCTTCGGGATTCCATCCCGTGGCGTCGCCTTCTCCCATGGATTTTCGTCGTCACCCACACTTCGTTCTGCTTCGTCTCAATCATCGCCACCTTCGGGCGACGCCTTCATCACAGTAGCGCCCCTGAGTCGTCGTCTTGTTGTGTGAATCTCTACGACTTTCTGTATTTGATGTCTTGAAATGATGCGTATCACCAGCGAGCCATGGCGCAGTTCGTCGACCGCCTCTCTTGCCTTCATCGCTTGTGCTTTGCATCCTTGGTCCTCATTAGGTCTTGCCCCTGCCGTCTCCTTATACAAATTGGGTACCCTGGCACGCTGGCCATCGTTCTCTGTGCCTTTGCTTGTCGTTCTTTTNTAGCGCCCCTGAGTCGTCGTCTTGTTGTGTGAATCTCTACGACTTTCTGTATTTGATGTCTTGAAATGATGCGTATCACCAGCGAGCCATGGCGCAGTTCGTCGACCGCCTCTCTTGCCTTCATCGCTTGTGCTTTGCATCCTTGGTCCTCATTAGGTCTTGCCCCTGCCGTCTCCTTATACAAATTGGGTACCCTGGCACGCTGGCCATCGTTCTCTGTGCCTTTGCTTGTCGTTCTTTTCTCCTGCCCTTCGTTAACGTCTTAGATTGCGTTGAGTTTTCCCTTTGCGTCGCGTCCAGTATCAAAGGCCGTATTCGTTCAGACATTTGTTTGGGTTTTGAGATTCGTCACCGTATTTTGGACTCTCTCGGGTTGTCACCCCCATTCCTCCAGCGGTGATACGCGCGGGTGCGCGTAAAAGAGTGGTGTGTGGCGTCTGGGTATTTTTTTNGTTGAGTTTTCCCTTTGCGTCGCGTCCAGTATCAAAGGCCGTATTCGTTCAGACATTTGTTTGGGTTTTGAGATTCGTCACCGTATTTTGGACTCTCTCGGGTTGTCACCCCCATTCCTCCAGCGGTGATACGCGCGGGTGCGCGTAAAAGAGTGGTGTGTGGCGTCTGGGTATTTTTTTTTTTTTTTCCCCTGTCGTCGTCTGTTCAGGATGATAGCGTGCTCTGCCGCAACATATATTCTTCGTGGCTTTATCCCTTCAAGCGTTGTCATTGAGCTGTCGATGTTCCGTTTCGTGACCGCTCGCATTCTTCATCTCACTGATGGTGTGGGGGATTGATTCGGGATATTTCTACAACTCACCCTCCTTTTGGATGTTTTGAGAAGAGTCCTATCTTCGATTCATGATCATAAATTATCTAAATCTTACTGCTTGTAGCTTTAGGATTTGAGCATTGATTTCAGTATAGAATCTGCATGTATGATATTCAGGGTGGGCTAGTAGTGTTAAGGAGTGTGGCTGCTAGCATGAATAGGGTACATCATATTGTTGATAGGATGCGGGTCGGTCAGGAGGTACCCTTCTGACCCTTACCCCCTTAGAATTGTCTACTTTGTGTACCCCCTGAGATGAAGTTGGATCCCCACTTCATCTCAGGCCTTTGCTGATCGTCTCTCAGCAATAACGAGCAACTTTCCCATCTAAACGTGGTCGTGGACAAGCGTGTCAACTACAGAACCTTCATCTATATCTCTAGGAGCAAGCTACCGCCCACGGCTTCACTCCTTGAAACAAGCCGGCTAGAGCGCGCGTTTTCGCCCGGCCTATTTTCGCACCTAGTTGCGCAAGGGGACGGAGGGGGTTCTTTTTTTTTTGCCACGCTGGGTGTCCGTTCTTCAGTGGCATGGTACTTTGTTCTTCGCATTCCATCGGCTAACTGACTGGAACCCATTGAGGTGCTGTGTGCGTTTGGGCCTGTATCGTTTTTGCTTACTGTAAATTTTTGTTGCATCCTTCACTTCGGACATGATGTTGATAGGTTTGGGCAAAACACGGGGGCTCCGGTCTTGTGTGCCGTGTTCGTGAGTAAGTCCTTCCTCGCGTTTTCGATACACCAATCAATGCTAAGTGCGTGTTGATACGTCGAGAAACAACACTTCAGTGTGTAGGTAGGTCGGCCGTTGCCTGCGTGCGACATCAGATTGCACTACGTTGTTAGTGGCCAAACTCACTGTTCCTGTAGCTGCCATGTTACCCCACCCATCCTTCTCACATTTTTTTCTCCGGGAATCAGAAGTCAACAGGCACAAGTGGTGCGGTGCAACAACGCGCAAGCACCCCAGCAGCAATTCCATTCAACCTGGCTTGCGCCATTCAAGAGTACTCCACCCGAAGTTCGTTTTGCAGCACAGTTCCAAGTGCTGTATAAACACATAATCAGCAGCTAACATGACCTATGCTTGGTGTTGCCCGTAGCGTGGCAGGGCATAGAGTACACCGGCCAATGAAGGAACGCTTAAGCCACCTCTCGCGCCAACAGCTCGTTCTCGGGAGTGAGAACGAATTTCAAGTGTTTTCAAGTATCCGGCGATCGGGTACATTGTAGGCTACCTCTCTAAAAAAAAAAAAATCGTAAGGGCAAATGAGATAGAGCTGATGCAGTGCACCTCAGTCTTTAACGAGACATGGTGGAACCCCCCCCCCCCCCCCCCC